CCACTTACTCTTCCTTACTCACTCTTACTACAATTAACCAGAACTTAGTCACAGGGCTGCCTCTAGCTGCAAGGGAAGCTGAAAAATATTGTCTATTCTGAGTAGCCATGTATCCAGCTAAGATAGGATATTCTATTATCTAAAATGTGAGGGCTCTATTCATATGAAGAAAAGAGACTGGATATTGATGGACAGCCAGTAGTGTCTGTTTTCTCCTCCTCTATTTACCTAGCTCACCTGAGCCAAGTCAGAAATTCTTTTGAAACTGAATCCAATGCACCAAATCTCAGCGGGGATATGAACACATTTCATAGAGCTGATAGCATCAAAGGGAAACATTGTCATTAAGTAAAAGCATGTCTGAAACCAGGCTATACATACTCCAATTATGTAGACCTTAGGGAAGTACCTATGCTTGTGGCATGAATAAATATTCATAAATATGAGTTTTAGAACTGAAGACCAGCTAAGGATTTTCAGGAGCTATCGAATGAATACAAGATATTAACTATGCCATTTTGAGTCTGTGATATTGGTATATATAAATATAAATATTTAAATAAAAATTATAACTACATCAATAATTTTCATCAAAAAATTATTTTCTAGAAAACTATTTTTTAAATGCATTATGACAGCATCCTGAACTCTTGGGACCCAATCAAAATACTTTTCTTTTGTGAGAAATTTCTTGATAGACCTTTGAGATTTATCTTCAAGAAGTAATGTACAAATTAGAGTAAGTCAAAAGCGAGGGTGGGTCAAGTGTTGACTTCAGTTTGCTGGACTGGATATTTCCCATTTACAAGCTGATGGATTCTTTTCATCTAAAGACCAATACTGTAATATAAAAACTGAAGATTGGGGCTGGCCGAGTGGAGCATTGGTTAGGAGTTGGCTTGGGACACCAGCTCTGAGCAGCAGGGCCCCAGTTCGGATCCCACATGAGGGCCAGTGACGCTGCACCCTCTACAGCTAAGATGCTGAACAACAGCTCAACCTGCTGCAGTGGGCTGCCAGTGAGCTACCGTGAGTGCTGGCAGCCAAGCATGAGCAGCCGGCAGCCGGCGTGAGCTGCTGTGAACCGCTGTGAGCGCAGTCCAATGGCCAGCGACTGATCTGCCTCACCCGGGAAGAGCACAATGATAATACCAACATGGGCCAGTGAAGCGATGTTCTCCACAATTAGACTGCAGAACAAAAGGACAGCAACTTGTCTGTTCCCCTTCCCCCAATTCCCCAGCACTGTTCCCCTCCCCCAATTCCCCAATGAAATCTTTAAAACAAACAAACACAAAACCTGAAGACTGAAGCTGTGAAAGCAAAACTAGAGATAGAGAGGGAAAAAGGCAGTGAGTTTTATTTAATTTTCATTTTAACCAATTTTTCTATGCAGAGTGGTAATTAACAAATTATGTTTGAAAATGAAGCATTTATGACTTTGCTGCGTTTGTGTACCAAGAATATAAAATGACTTAAAATTTACCCTTTTTTTAATGTATTTTGAGATATGAAAAACTGACATAAAAATATCAGGATTTTTTCATATTTCAGATTTAAACAAAAGCATCTACACTGAAAGAAAGATGGAACTTATGTAATTATAGTTTTAACTGCTAAGCAAAAATCCTTCACAGAAACACACCATATTTGACATAAACCAGAATCAAGTGCTAGAAATTGATTTTTTTATAAAAATTACATTTGTTCATAATAATTTACTTTGTAAAATGTAACTCTTCCTATACCATGAGAACAGGTGGGGTAAAAAAGACAATGAAAGAGGATCTTTATTCTTATGAGTGCACACATAACAATGTGTAAGCTGAAGCTTGGTCATGGTTGATACTATATGAATGGCTCAGAAAACCCTGCTCAATTTTTCTTAATTTTCCCTGTTTTCAATATTACTAATCAGCAGTTATTTTTCAGTTAGGTTTTACAGTTTTAACAAAACTGTGTCTGTGTTTAGCTACTGTTAATTTCATTTTGTATTGATTACTTCAGTCAAATCCAGTTTTCTCTGTCAACCTGGTTACAATATCCTTGGTATTAAAGTAGCCAGGCAAAAAGCTCATATCAAGTGGTTTATTGTCTTGGATCTTGCTGTTCATTTCAACTGCCACATACAGAATTTTAAGTGCACGCTTTTCCAGTTTTCTGAGTTCTTTTTACCCTAGATCATCAAAATGAGAAAAGTCTTGTATACAAACCAACTTTTTATAACTTGTAAATATCAGAAATTACCATGCTCTTGACTTCAATCCAAGCTTTAAAATTCTATTTGATATCTTTAATTTAAAAAAGAGGGTGGTTTTTTTCTGGAATAAATTTCATCATGCCTATTTAATGCCATGGTCAATTTTATACTACAGTTCAACTGTTTCTTGTTTTTATCATTTTACTAAAATTATTTTCATTGGTATCAGTTCCTGTTCGTTTACATGTAAACCTTACACTGATGTTATAATTCAGTATTATTTTTTTCTCTCCATGACAAATTATAGCCATTAGAGCTTCTGACATTATGAGCTTTCTTTTGTGGTTAATTAAACAAAACCAATTTTTTTCCTACACAAACTTTGTAGATCAAATTTTGTTAGGAAAATTAGATTTTTCCATTAAGTCTTAAGAAATGGTAAATTTTACCATCTGTTTTTCTCAATTTTCCCTGTTTTCAATATTACTAATCAGCAGTTATTTTTCAGTTAGGTTTTACAGTTTTAACAAAACTGTGTCCGTGTTTAGCCACTGTTAATTTCATTTTGTATTGATTACTTCCATCAAATCCAGTTTTCTCTGTCAACCTGGTTACAATATCCTTGGTATTAAAATAGCCAGGCAAAAACCCACAAACAATTCTAGGCAACTATTCTCACGTTTGGTGGCTTTATAAAACAGAATTTTACAAATGTAATGGATTTTGGGAATCACCGTCATTGAATCTTCTCATTTTACAAGTGAGAAAACAAGTGTGGAAAAGTTAAGTGATTTGCTGGAAGAGAGAGAATGGATGCTTGAGCAAAGGCAGTAAGGATTAAAGGCAGATTAGTAAGGATGGAGGCTATGGGCAAATGTGAAAATATTGAGAAGATCAAGATCAGGACATGGTTAGTTGGACAGTGGGACAAAGAAAAGGGACAAGTCTAAGATAATCCTGGATTTCAAGCTTGGGTGACTGGGTGGGTATTGACGCTGTTCACTGAGACGGAATATTTGAGTAGGTTAGGTTTGAGGAAGAGAATAGTTAATGAGTTCAGTTTTAGATGTCAAGTTTGAGATTCCAACTGGACATCTAAGTGGAATTTGAGTATTTCAATAAGAAATTTTTTAAAGCTTTGGATAGAGAGATAGACTTGAGAGTTATCAGCTTACAGATGGTAGTCACACGAAAGTAGACAAGTCACCACCCTGCGAAAATATCCACCAAGGAGGCAAAGTTGTGGCCTCCACATGTAGGGTTTTTTTTTGTTTTGTTGTTGTTGTTCAAAACAAAAGTTTAACAAAATTTGAATTAGTGACCAATATTTAAAATTTGGGAGATTTTATGTAAGTGTATATTGATTTCTCTTTTAAAATGAGAGGATTTGACATCTCTGGACTAGCATTCCTAGTTGGCAAAAATAAACTAGAGCTGAGTAGGGAGACTAGGAGCTCCAGTTCTCTATCATATTCTCTATCCACTAGCTTCACTCCTCTGTGTTCACTGCCTGGGCATGTAGGCTTTTGGATTTGCAGCCTATGATGTAGCATAAGAAGATCAAGGGTGAAAAAGTTAAGGAAAAATAAAAGAAAGAAGAGCCCCTTGATGGAAACTGAGGGGAGATAGTCAGAAAGGTAAGAGAAGAGCCAAGAGGGCTTGGAAACAAAGAAGCAAAGGAATCAGGGTTGAAAGGAGAAGGAGCAAATCTTGTGAAGTACATATTAGAAATTGTTTTTGCTACCATATATTATTCAGCTATTTGCTCAAGTAGAAAATTTAGGAGGCATTTTTCATACCTTTCTTTTTCTTATCCCCTTTATCAAATTCATCAATAAGTCTATCTTATTCACCTCCAGATTATTCCTTATATTTGTCCATTTATTTCCATCATTTTTAACCTGATCATTGCAAAAGCAACTGTTGTCTCTGCATCCTTTCTTGCCTCCCAATAGTTCATTGTATACACACAGCAGCCATGCTGATCTTATAAAACCAGATCCTGTCACTCACGTGTCTTCCCTGGCTTCTCATTACACTTCAAAGAAAATCATGCACCATTCAATTACCTAGAAAGTCTCTGCAAGATCAGGACTCTCCTTGCCTAGTTGATCTCATCAATTCTGCGCTTAGCCTATTTTCTCACTTTCTCAAGGGCATCACATTCTGTCTCCTCCCATAGCCTGCAAACATGTTGATCCTTCTCTTGATTCATCTTCCTCCAGATCTTTACAGAGCTGGCTGCTTCTCTCTGCAGTTCACAGAGCCTCCTCAGAGGGCTCTTCTTTGACATCTCAAACTAAAGAGGCACCCTCCCTCCTTTAGTTTTTCAGCAACTTATTTTCCTTCCACACATTTATGATCTCTAAGAAGGATTTGCTGAGACACTCAAGTGTTTGCTTTCTCTACTAGAAAGTAATCTACACGAGGCTAGGTACAGTATCTGTTTTGTTCTCTGCTGTATGCCACATTCTGTAACAGTGCTTGCCTGGTACATAGTAGGACTTGAATAAATTGTGGTGGAATGCATGAAGATGTAAACAGTTATATACAGCAGAGGCAGAGTGAAAAACAGAATAGAAATTGCACTTCCGTGTTTCAATAACTTTTTTTCTTAAGTGCCCACAAGATTTTATCATTACTAGTTAGTTCGGTAACAGGATAACCCTACGAGCCCCCAAATCAACCAAGCTGCTCGCGTAGTCCCTGTCCGCGCATGCGCAGACCTCACCGCGGCGGCGCAGCTCAACTCTTCCTTAGGGGCTGGGCTAGGCCCACTACGATCCCGGCGCGCGTGGATGACGTCAATAGGCGCGTGCCCGGTAGCCCGTAGTAACCCGGAGTCTGCGGAAGTGGAGACCGCTGGGCACGCAGCTGAAACAGGTAACCTGTGTGCTCGTGGTTGGGTCCCTGCTTTCCTCATCTCCGGCGCCAAAATGGCGGTGGGGACAGCAGCATCCCATTCTGAAGGCGATCGGGAGCCCGCCCCTACTCCCACCTTTCTTCAGTCTTGGGGTCCCCATTCCCCCTCAGTCGTCCAGACTGACCCTGTCCTGAGGACTGGGCTGAGCGGCCACTTCCCTCCGCCTTCGCTCTCGGGGTGGTGATGGACTCTGACTCACCTCTCTCTGGCGACACAGACTCTCCTTTAAGCCTGCAGTTGCCACCTCCTTCCTCTCTTGCCTCCAGGCCCATCTCACCCTCTCCTCTCCGCCCCTAGCTCTGCAGGGCTCAACTCCAGTCTTGTTTAAGCAGACAAAACAGTTTCAGATTCTGTTCATTTCCACTTGCAGAGAAACCCATCCACCTCCCTCCTTGCCCCGCTCCACCGCCCCCGAGGATCCTTACTTGAGAGCACGAAGTTTTGAGTTTTGGTGTGCCTAAAGAGCATTCGTTCTCTGTCAGCCTGGAGTTTTGCTCAGTAATGCATGCATTTGTTGGGTAAGGGGGTAACGCAGTAATGTCAAAATCTGTTCTGATAATAAATGATTCACATGGGATCCAATCAACCGTTGAGATGGGTGGAAGAGTTATAGCGTTTCATTAAAATGCTCCTTGTTCCTGGATTTCTTTTTGGTTTTCAAGCAATAATGACAACTACCCTTGCAAAGGTAAACATAAAACAAATAAGCAACAGAACCCCAGTAGGAAGGTTGAGACCGCCAAAAAATAATAGGATTCATAGTGTTGATAAAGGAATGCAGGATAACAAAACCAACCAGAATAGATATGGGAGGAGAAGCAAGCAGGATTCTGAAATCTTTGCTCTCATTGATGGTTTGATTTTGTTGTACCTTTGTGTTGTTTCATTTTTCATTTAATTCTGAGAAGCCTACCAAATGACTTGCTAATTGCTAAGATTTGGTTCTTATATTTGGAGGACAGAGTAGAACAAGTTTAGGGAATAGTAGTAATCACTCATTGTTGACCATCTCCTATACCCCAGGGACTGTTTTCTCCTTAACTCACACAACAACCTTGTGAGTTACGGATTATTATCCTCAATTTACAGAGAAGGAAGCTGAGGTTCAGCCAAACATTCATAGTAACTAAATGATGGAGACAGGCTTTAAATTCAGGCTTGTGTATAACTTCAAAGCCTGTACTTTCTTTAAAAAAAAAACTGTTAATGATTAAATTCTAGGCTTTTTACAATAGTCACCCATAATTCTATGAGTTTGTTCACTCATCTATCCAAATTATTTGACACTTTCTAATATCTTTAGTATTAAGTTCTCATACCTGGAATTCAAACATCTGGAAAACTTAATTTGTCACACACACACACATACACACACACACACACGTATACATGTACATATGTACACGTGTGCGCACCATCCTTATCTTTAAGAATGAGATAAATGGCAAATAAGATTGCTCTGTCCAACCTTTCTATTTGGAGCACTCAGGGAATGAATAATTTTGGATAGTTGAAAATTTTACCTCTTTAGAAATGAAAATCATATTTTTGCTATTTTGGATGGAAAAAATTTAAGTGCACTAAACAATGCCTTCTTAAACACTAAGTTGACTGAACATATTTTAACCTTCCCTATGTCTCAGAGTAGTTATTATGAATGTCATTTATTGTCCTGTGTTGTAATATGATTTCCTCAGAGCTTTTATTATATTTGACCCCCAAGCTGTTCTGCATTTTGAGTTTGCCTGTGCTTTACGTTGTTCATTCCTTAATGCCACCATGAGATAGTAAAACATTGCAATTAAAAGCAGGGACTGGGGAACCACACTTCCAGAGTTCAAGTCCTAGCTCTCCCATGAACTAGCAAGACAGTGGGCTGGGGCAAGGTTGTTGACCCCTGTTGTACACTTCAGTTTCCTCATTTGTAAAATGGGAATAATAATACTTTTCTCAGAAGATTGTTGTGAGGATAAAATGAGTTAATGTATATAAAAAGCTTAGCACAAACCAGGCATATTGTTAAGAGCCATATTAAGTGTTTGCTAATATTAATCTGGTTTTGACCTTAGGTTCTTTGAAAATCGCGTTCTAGTTCTTTGAAAATTGTTATTACTTGAATAATATTTGATATATGGTAATTACCCGTTTCCTAGAGAATTAAATTATCCTAACTGGAATCCCTTATCCTAAGCCATTCTGGGAAAATGTTAATTTATTCACTGTTAAATTCACTTTTATTGTGGTTTTATAATGCAATATACCTTTTCTTTGGGATGTTTGGAGTAGAGAGTTCAAATATTTCATTTTATATGTTTCAAACTAATGGACTTTTAATTTCTGTTTGAATTTTGGGCATCTTTCAGTGTTTTAAATTATAGTTTACCAATACATGAGAACCTGCTCTACTTTTGAATAGCTGTTGTTACACATCCATTTATAGTGCCCTGCACAGGTGTACTTTTGCACTCATGTTGTCATGATTCTCTGTGGACAAATACCTCCTTATAAAAACACCTATTATACATAGGCCACACATAAAGGCATCTCCTCAGTATAGTTCTCTTTCCTTCTCCCTTCAAGGAGCTAAAAGAAATGGGCGCTATCAATAAAGTGAACTAATGTTCCTTATGAAATTCATAAGATTTGTATCCATTTCAGGTATGTATTTTAAACCAAGGCCAGCTAAGAATTGATACTGACTTCTTTGACGTCCCTAGTTAGGAACGCAAGAATAAGTGACCTGTCCTTTATTTTAATACCATTAAGGCTGGTACTCATGTTAAAACTTCCTGTTGAAAATACAGGCTATATTTTTTAAAGATCTTATTTTTGTTGTGGTAATTTATTTACTATTGTAACCATTTTTAAGTGTACAAATCATTGGCATTAAGAACATTCACAACATTTAATTATCACCATTATCCATTTCCAGAATTTTTAATCATCCCAAATAGAAACTCTGTGCCCATTAAACGATTGCTCCCCATTCCCTCACCTTCCCCCCATACCCCTTCCCTGTTCCAGCTCCTGGTGACCCCTCTTCTACTTTCTGCCTCTGAATTTGTCTATTCTAGGTACCTCATAAAGGTGGAATTATACACTATCTTTTTGTATCTGGTTTATTTCACTTGGCATGTTTTCACGGTTCATCCATGTTGTAGCACTTATCAGAATTTCATTTCTTTTTATGACTCAATAATATTCCATTGTATGTATGCATATATAGTATATATATATATATATATCTCATAGCATAGCTCATATACATTTCTCATATGCTATACTTTTGAGGCATTATCCTCTTTTATTTTTCTTTCTTTTTAAATTTATTTAAACTAAAAAAAAAGAAAAATGTTTACCTATTTTACCTCTCCTAGCCCCTACTCTCTGTCACTGGCAAATGCCAGTCTGTTCTCTGTATCTTTGAACTTGATTTTTGAAAAAAATTTAGTTTTAGATTCCACATATAAGAGAGATCATATGGTTTTGTCTTTCTCTATCTGACTAATCTCACTTAGCATAATTCTCCTGAAGTCTGTCCATGTTGTTGCAAATGGCAAGAATTCATTCTTTTTAATGGCTGAATAATATTCCATTCTGTTTATGTTGTTTATGTGCACACGTATCACAATTTCTTTATTCATCTATCGATGGACACTTAGGTTGTTTCCATATCTTGACTATTATAAATAATGCTACAGTGAATATGGCACTATTTTCCTCTTCTTTGGGTAAACCAGAAGTGGAATTGCCAGATCATATAGTAGTTGTACTTTTAATTTTATGAGGAACCTCCATAATGGCTGTACCAATTTACATTCCCACCAATAGTGCGCAAGGGAGTTCCCTTTTCTCCATATGCTCACCCACACTTATTATTTCTAGTCTTGTTGATGATAGCCTTTCCAACAGGTGTGAGGTGATACCCATTGTAGTTTGATTTGCATTTACCTGATGATTAATGATGTTGAGCATCTTTTCATGTACCTGTTGGCATCTACATGTCTTCTTTGGAAATATGTTCAGATGTTTTGCCCACTTTTTTATCAGATTGTTTGTTTATTTTGCTATTGAGTTGTACGAGTTCTTTATATATTTTGGATATTAACCCCTTATCAGGTATATAACTTACAAATATTGTCTCCCATTCAGTAGTTTGCCTTTTTATTATGTTGATGGATTTCTTTGCTGTGCAGAAGCTTTTTAATTTGATGTACTCCATTTGTTCATTTTTGTTTTTGTTGCTTTTGCTTTTGGTGTCAGTTAAAAAAAAATCACCAAGACCTGTGTCAAGGAGCTTACCACCAATGTTTTCTAGGAGTTTTATCATTTTAGGTCTTATGTTCAAGTCTTATTTCTAGTAAATTTTTGTATATGATGTAAAATAGTGGTCCAGTTTCATTCTTTTGCATGTGGCTGTCCAATTTTCGCAGCACCATTTATTGAAGAGACTGTTCTTTCCCCATTGTATATTATGGCTCCTTTGTTTAAATTAATTGACCATATATGTGTGGGTTTACTTATGGGCTATTCTATTCTATTCTATCCATCTGTGTGTTTGTTTTTATGTGAATTATGCCTCTTTATGCTTCTCATTTCATGTGGTATGAACTTAGTACTTGGTGATTTGATTTGACTGTGAGCTACTAGAAAATAGGAATGGAGATATCAACCGAAATAACACTGTTAGTGAACTATGAACAAAATACCTGGTAACAATGTTAAACTGGAACTTGAGCATACATTATAGTGTTATTTTTCTTCTCACCTAATGTTTAGTCTAAAAATAGGAAGGACAAAAATAATGATAACATTACCTAGTATTTTTATAGTATTTACAGTGTGCCAGGCATTGTTCCAAACACTTTACCTGTGAAGTAGGTAGTATCATTCTGTTTTACAGATGAAGAAACTGAGGCACAGAGAAATTAAATGAATTGTTAAAATTATGATGCTGGTA